ATCTAATCACATATAATACATGTAAATTTTTTGGTTGAATTATTGAAATTATAAGATTATTTATTATTATAAGATATTATTGAAAAAAAAATTATTTTAAAAATATTGAATTAGACAAATTATTTATTCTAATAACTTATAATAATTTTAATAACTAAAATTAAATTAAAGATTTAAATGGTAATAATCAAATTCTAAAATACTATCGATCGACAATATTTGAAGGTTATGAAATTCATTTAATATTAATTTATAAATCTAATCTAAACTCTAATCTAAAATATTATATTTTGTAAACATTGAGTAAAATAAATAAATTTACCATAAATAACTGCAATAAACATCAATTTCGTTATTATTACCATTGCAGCAAAAAAGTTTTTTATCGAAAAAGACTATTTTTTTAAATATTAAAATCCAAAATATAATATTTAATTAATTTATTTTCACATAATTAAGATAATTAACAATTTTGATTGTCAAATTGAAATGTATATGATAAAATCCAGTACATTTCTACTATGTTTTTATTCTCTGATGCCATACAAACTTCATACCGGCAGTTTCTGAACTAGTAACGTTTATACTATGCATCTGAAAATATATACATATAAGAAAATACTGCATAAAATGCAAATTTAAAAATGCAATAATTGCAAATTTAAAGCAATTTGAAGTATACGCATAATTTACATTCAAATTATTAAAACTACAAAAATGACACTTAATAAAATCAAGTATAATTGTAAATATTTTTTTATTATATTTTTTATTATTCTTTAAAATAGAATATATTTTATAAAAATAATCGTAATAAAATTTATTCTTTAAAGCTGTTGTTTAAATCATTTTATAGAAATTTATTAACGTATACATATAAATATAAAAAATTATTTTTTTTATAAAAAAATTATTAGTAAGTTGAATATTAATAAAAATTAATAGTTTTGAAATTTATAAAAATATATTTATTAAATTTATGAAAATTGATACTTCATTTACACATTTCTTGAAAAATATTTTACATTTTAACCAAATGGAAGAAATTATAAATTTATATAATTATTTTTAAGTAAATGAAAATGTTTGCATGAATATTTTATAGATTTTGAGATTGATTTGTATCTTCAGAATTGATATTAGATTCAGCATCTTCAAAGTCCTGAAAGTAAAGTAATAATGCAGATTTTGCATAAATATATAAATCGAAAAATAATTGAAAATCATATTTTTATTTGTAGATTATAAACTCACATAATCTTAATCAATAATTGTGCTATCCGGAAAACCGTTAAGTAACATTAAAAGAAAAATATAAAATGAATGTACAATATTAAAGATGATCATAATAAAAAGAATGTATATATAGCAAAGAAATAGGAAAGGATAAAAAATGAGACTAATGCCAATCGTAGCTAAACTTGTCAATATACTGCCCATTTCTCGCTTTTTTTGCGAGATTCATTTTTTAATTACATATATGTACATATATATGTAATGCATCCAGAAAAATCATACATTTTATCAACTTCTCATGTTTTTATGAAATTAACAAAGTATTTAATGTATATTTATTTTGTTACTATAAATATTGTTAAAAAAATATTATAAATAATATTA